TCATTTTCTTATAACTCATTTCTTTTTAAACATCCGTTTCACTAAGGCTTTGTGAATTTAAAAGTCAAAGTGCATAAGAAGAGATTTGTTTTAATCAACGCAATTGAAAGTGCAGAGATGTGATTTTCTTTAAAAATAAACATTCCTTTTCTGGATTCTTAACTGCTGCTACTGGAGCACAACTCTTGTGGTGTTACACGAACAGGATTTTCCACAGTGAAAATTGCAGCATCAATGGTGTGGTGATATTTACGTTAAAATTTTAGCCTTTTCAAAAGGCAACAGGCAAAATGTTTGCCCCTGTGTTTTGCCTTTTAACAGTTTTAACTACATGCATTTACCACGTGCAGCATAGCCTGAGATGGTATTGTTTCCACCCGTGGACAGAATTAGACAATAGGTAAGCTCTAGTGACACATCTATTTACATTGTGACATTTCACCGTTCTAATTCCAATAACTATGCTATTTTTGGTTTGAGCAAATTATCTTCACTGATTGCATGGTTTGCGTATGCGCATATCTAAGTCGCATCATTGTTCATGATATCCAAACGTTACGCAACCCTCATTGTTCGTCCTGTCTACCCAACCACGTATGATTGAAACATTATGCGTGTAACATCAACGGAAACCGTGGCTTAATGTGCTTTTCTGCTTCGGTTTGTCTGAACTTCCTTTTTAAGGATTTTTTTTATTTTGTCCCCTTCCGCGATTGTATCTAGCTTCATAAATTTTCCTACTTATCACTGCTCAGATGAAAACCATCTAGATTTTCCCGCTTGTACACCCCAAGGACAAATCATACCTAACGATAAAATTAACCGTCACATTTGTCCACGTGTGATTTCTTTTCATAAACCGGTTGTGATCCGGAATTAAATGACTCTATCATAGCTACATGGGATCGGTACAGTTGTCACGTCCCAAGTCTAAAATTGGTGCTTCCATTTATATGGAATTTACTGTATGAAGATATTTTTCTTGTCTACATCAGCCTTGTAGCATAATTGACAATGGATAGCGATTGCCAAATTTGTATCCAAATAAATTACATAAACGTGCCTCATGAAGCACGGTAGATTTGTTGCCTAATTTAATGACTGATCGGCAGTTTTGTGTGCCAGTGAAAGCTAATCAATTAACTTGCTTAGAATTCTTTGAAACACAGTTTTATTTTGTTCTTAGCTCGCATTTATTGTAGACACACTCTTATTTTGGAAATTTAGCTGTCAGTTTATCTTTTTGCGCCTAGTAGTTAACTTCTTACAATATTCATTTTTCCAGATAATAGATTTTCCGAGAAACCGATTTCCAAAAAGTATTTTAATAGCTGGTTCATGTTATTGTTTTGAAGCTAAAAATGCGCGTGCTCTAGCTGATTCGTAGTGTGGGTCATCCGAATTGGGTTATTTCGTAAAAAAATTACTGACTGTTAAACTTTATACTTGATTTCTCTGTATGCTTAAAGGCTCGACAGCAAAATAGCAGAAGATGCCTTAACGACTGACGTGGGTGTGGCAGCCTCCGAGCAGGTGTTCTTTCACACCCATGAGGCGTCGCCAACACACCTATCACTTTTGCGTCCATTTGTCAACTGCCTTTTCGAACCGGAAACAAAAGTTTCCTTAAAGCATAAGTCGTGGCCACTCCCGGTAAAAATTTCTAAGGAACAAGGAATAGGAGATACACATCTGGATTCATATGTTTTTTTTTCTGTGTTAGAGTTAGTGAGAACTTTAAAAATTGTTTGCCCACAAAAAAATTGTTTAATATGTCTTTATAACAACATCTATCTGCTGCTAAAACATCACCTACTTAAGATCTATGAGGGCTGATTTTAATGCAATCGGTAGCATGATGGTAGGGTATTTGGCAAAAGAAATATTAATTTCAGTACACTGCTGATTTTGCAGATTTAGGTGCTGGAACTTGAATAGTCAGTTAACCAGCAGAATGCAGCTTTATAAGTTAATTTGCTACAAATTGGAACTGTTCCTCACATCAAAAATACAATTTTTGACATTTAGGAGTCACTTACCACACTGTACTCCTTAACAGTTAAAGCAAATAAATATACCGTACACATCTTGCGTTAGGGAACACCTGCCATCATAGATGATGACGGTGTTTTGCTATGATCCAAAGCACTTAACATCCATAGACACGTTTAACTGAGAAGATTTTTTCATTATTTTGATTAGGTTACTGAGCAAATTATGCAGTCTTGGAGTGAATAGGAACCTGGTTACATAGGTGACACGATTTCCAAAGATCAAAAAGGGACAAAGAAATGAGACTAGGCTTATGTACCATTTTATTCAGGACAAAGGTGCAAGTGAAAGAGGGAACCATTTGACGCATGTCGTCTTCCGAAGAGTAAGACGAGCACTATAAACACAAATTCTGGTTTATCCATAAAACTACTATGCTTTTTACCTAGCGGGATTGAATAAGTGTCAAAGACTGTAATGTGGAGTTTAAAATTGACCGGGTCAAAGAAACTGGGCCAGACAAGAGTAGATTATTAAAACCAATTATATTTTTCACAGTGACACTACATGACAGTACGTTTCGGGCAAGAATCGGCATTTGCATCGCCTTGTCTCTGTGCGGCCACACATGCTGCTCAAAATGTGCTTATTGAGTGCTACCCGTTTAAAATTGGCGTGTAAGTTTTTAATCATTTGGATTTGCCAAATTTAAATTTTACCAAAGATAAATGTATCAGCTTTTCTAAAGCAATACTATGGATTTATGCAAAAAATACTCATAAGTGCCAGAGCCATTGAAGAAGGCGATCACTTAAATACCTACGGAACAATTAAAAGGGATAATGCCAAAGTCGGTAAGAGTGGATGGAATAAAAGAGATAAATCAGCATAAAAAGGACAACGAAGACAGTAATTTAATTAAATACACGACTTAGTTTGTTTTCCGCTTTTGCTATTTCCAGTTCAGTGCTTCTTAACATAAGTGTTCTCTCTCATCTTTCTACCTGGAATTCAGTGGCTTTAACTTTCCGACAAGTTAAACATTTCTCATTTTTCTTGAATCAGGAAATAAATGTTGACTTTACTCAGCGTTTCCTTTTTGTGCAAAAGTGCAAATAACAGTGGTTGAAAATGACTGTGTAGTTGGCGCGTAATCGAAATTTTATCGTCAATTGTGCAAATTCTGCATGACAACTCTGAATGGAATCAATTGCTCAAGAATTGAGCCCGATTAAAAGACGATGGCTGACACTCGGGGAAAACTATCTCCGCGCAACTTTATTGATTCCCTTTGGGCTGGGACCTTTTACAGAACGTTATTTTTTTAATATGAATGATGTACTGGTTGCTATGGTTATTGTACTACTTGTAACTCAACCAACCTCGTTTAGCAGATTTCATATCTCATAAAATTGCTGTGGTAGTTAATGGACTCCTGTCGGTATAGTTCTTGCCTACCTTATCTACGCTATTCCTAATACGCTCATTCAAATATAATACAATTTTTAGACGGAACAAAAAAATAGACCTATTTAACTGTTTAATGACTTATTTCTTTCCTTGTTAAGTAATTTGAAGTTACTTCTAATCGCTGAAACTTGTTTTTTCATAGCTTTGGCAACAATCATCTTGAAAGATTTTTGAAGGTGGATTGGCATGGTAGAAGGCAAGCTTAATTACTAAAAAACATTCTAGTTATAAAAATTAGCCAAATTTTACAAAAGGTTTTTAAATAAAATGAAATATCGTCTAAAAATGTATTTGTAAAATCTTTGATCCTATGATTTCGAAGTAATAAGTAATTTAAGTATCGCCTCTTGTCTGAAGCACAGACGGTCATTTTGTTTCAGTACGTCTAATGAAAACCATCAAAGGACTCTTCAACCCCCATCTCGCTACATACGAAACAAGTTTGAACTATATGAGTTGAAATCGATGACCCTTTAATTTGTTTCGACAGATTTCCTCACTTGTTCATCGAAGTTTACGACACATCTCTAATGGGTTCAAGACCGTTTCTAAGATGACAAATTGTAATCCGATTTTAATTTATTGATCAAAGTTTTTCCGACAGCCTGCATTTCAAAATGAAGCATAAGTAGGTGAAGATTGGTTTAACGGGTTCAAAAAAATGTCTGTTTTCAAAAGGACGTATTCTTGTGCCTGGTTTGAAAGACAGCTGTCCATTGCTGACATTTAGTGGATGTCAAATTTAGCTTACTTCAAGAAGCTGGTTACGCGCGATATAGTTTCTGCACCTAGCTTGGGGTCAACTTTACTATGGAAAGCAAAATTAGGCATTTAAAGCACATCAAACTACTCTATCTCCGTCGGGCCAAGAAAGTTCCCTGGGCTCACAACAAGATTATTGTGGTTTCGGTGAAGATTGCTCAGCATAAAGCACATGGGTCTCTCTGTCCTTTCTGTCCTGGAGATTCTCCGTCCACGTATAACAGCTTTGCAGAGTTAATGAGACATATCAAAACCACAGTCATTTTTAATTTTGGTCACCTAACTGTGCAAAAGTAAAGAGCCATTAAATGAATCACATAAAACAACCTAAAGTCATTTGAATGCCACAGACTAGTTTCAGATTGATCGGAATAGGCGTAAGTTCACTTTACATTTCACCGCGAAAAATATTTACTTTCTTGTTCCCATATTACAGTTATTTTTTCCTAAGTCTACTGAAGCCCATTTAAATGGAGCCAAATTAAGGCACATGCTGATTTTGTTTCTATAAGAGTATGATCAGTAAGATTAGAATTTCTGACTGAGCTGTCAAGATAACAAAGACATCGATTTTTCACTGCATGTGTATGTAAGAATCTTAATAGCCAGTTACTCGCCTTTGTGCAGAGTCCGAAAATTACAGAAAATCCCTCAACACAGTTTATTGCAGCTACCAGGAAAGTATTTTCCCTACACTTAGCATGGTCTTATTATATTTGAATGCTCCCATATCTGTTTTACAAAAGCTAATCCTATCTCTTTAATGGTTTTTTAGGTTTGGTTCTGTTCGAAAGTACAGTAAAAAACAACACTGTTGTTGGACATGCGAAGAATGCCAGCCAAACCAGATAATTGTCAACTTAACTCATTGTCAGACCTGCGAGAATCAATACTGGCCCACAGCTGACAGGAAAAACTGCGAGCATCTTGAGGTAGGTTACCTTAAGTTGTTCCTCGTGCGCAAGAGTTTACACCGCCGTCTTAAGAAAGCTGTTACAGGACCTTCACAACGCTGTTATCGCAGTTTTGTGTGTATGATGTTTGTTTTGGTTCTGTACAAGTTATTTCACGTTGATTTTGTTAGCGAGCACACTCTCCTAAAAACATTTCAGCAGCACTTAAGTGGCTTGTTTGTTATGGATAATGCCATCGGTAGAATGCGGTCCGATCCTTGGGATTCTTTCATTAAATTTTTTCAGGCTAAAACCTGAGCGTTTTTTGATACACCGTAGCTATGACCTAATCCTGTGTATTAATAAGGTGAGAATGGAAAATTTGTTCACGGTACCTCACTACACATGCTTTCATCTCTATAGGAAGCATTAACGTACAAAAATCAAGGAGGCTTAAAGTGATTTAGTTCTTGAAGGTGACGACATCCGTTATATAGGTCTGGATGCTTCTTTTGGAAAGGTCGCTAGTGGCAGCCTACAAAGGGGTGTCTCTTGGTTGTCATTAGTAACTCCTGTTATGTTGCCTAGTCTATTTGAGACCAAGCAGAAAACATTGAAGTGGGTTAGTTCTCCGAAAGTCTACCTCAGTTAAAGAGCAATGCTTCCTGCAATGAACATAATTGCTTTTAAAAATTAAAAAAGTCAGCTGAAGATGAAAGTAATGACCTCTTTCATCAGACAGAGGTAAGAGAGAGCTAATTTACTAAAGAGCCAGGAGTAAAACGTTTCCTTTAAATTTTAGCTTATACTCATCGCAAATTTGTGAACTTTTACGTCCAATGACTAGCTTTTCCGTTAAGGTTGTCAAGATGACCTGACTTTTTATCGAGATCTAATTAGGACCCCGTTTATCTACTTTTCGTTGTAGCTTCATTACATTCGGATAAGCAGTTGGTTTGCCATCTTCCCCATGATCCTGAATTTTATCGGTATCGCAGCAACGGTGGGGGTTATAGCAACGTTGGCGCTTTACTCGGAAACTCCGGTGGTCCGCGCAACTGGTCGAGAGTTGACCTACCTTCTCCTTTCTGGCTGCCTTCTTTGTTACATCTCATCTCTGATCCTCCTCGTGCCTCCAAACCCCACTGCTTGCGCCATCCAGCGAGTGGGCATTGGCCTGGGTTTCGCCATTATGTACGCGTCGTTACTAACGAAAACTAATCGCCTAGCCCGTATTTTTGACGCCGCAAAAAAGACAACGAAGAGACCTGCTTTCATATCCCCTCGCTCACAGCTAGCGATCGCGGGAGGTTTGGTAGGTCTGCAATTCGCTTTATCAGCGATTTGGCTCGGATTCGACCCGCCCTCAACCCGTGTGGATCCACTGCAACCAAATTTCCTTGTTCTACGCTGCGCCATTAAGGACAGTAGCATGGTTACCTCATTGGCGTACATTATGCTTTTGATCGTCGTATGCACAATCTACGCAGTGAAAACTCGTTCCATCCCTGAGAACTTCAACGAGTCGAGGTTCATTGGCTTCACAATGTATACCACTTGCATTATTTGGCTTGCGTTTGTCCCGATCTATTTCGCCACAATGAACAGTTTTGAGGTGAGCAGCTCGCGAATTTCCTGTGCTGCTATTCATCCATTCTAACCAGGTGCATGACTCGAAATACTAGGATACGGAACGCGGTTCTACAATAATTAACTCCCATGTAAACGGACAAATTGTACAGGCAGTAATTTTTGCCTACATGTTTAGCTATTGTTGCTTATTACTGGCAATTACGGATGAGCATAATTTAATCAAATCAACATTTAACTTAAAATCTTGGCACAAAATTTGCTTGATCCTCATAGCTACTCACTGGTCTTGTAGACATCACATTAATTGTATTGGCCCGTGAGAGCGACTCAAGAGACGCACAACCACTTAAAAGTGCAAGTTAGACACGAACCAATTTGTTTACTTCGAAGATGAAAGGAACCGTTTATGCTTGTCTAATCCATTCAGATTTTAACAAATCTAATGTTCCTTGAGAGAATCAACATCAATATCCTGCTTGAACTTCGAAAAATACAAAATCATGAACTTTTTCATTGTACTTAACTACGTTACAGGAACCATTCAGTTGGCTTCTGGTTACATTTTGTTTTCTCTCACCAAGAAAAACTTAAGGTACCAAAATGTGTGCAAAAAGAACAGGATATTGATCATCCAGAGGGTTTAGCTATTAATGAGCCAGTTAGTGCAAGCAGACCAGATTTATTAACTGTATACTACACTTTGTACTCAATTAAGGCAACGAAGAGTAACAGGATATAAAGTGATTGCCTGTGCTGTTTGTCGTAGTTTTTCTTTGTGGTGCCGACGCGCGAGGTAATACTTACTGATTATGGAAGTCTGCTTAGTCAACTGATTAAATAACGACAAGATTAGCCATCAAAAGGTTTATTCATTGCCAAAATTCATCATGAATTTTTTATAGATTCAGATATCAACGCTTTCCGTCGCAGTGAGCTTAAGCGCCACGGTCACCCTCGTCTGCCTATTCGCACCTAAGGTCTACATTATCTACTTCCACCCTGAAAAGAATATCCGGAAGCTCACGATGAATAGTGGCCCGGGAAGCAAAAGTCGCTATGGTATGTCTAGGTCCAACTGCTCCGCTACATTGAACAGCACAGATCTGTTGAGCTGAAATCTTATAACTAGGGCTTCATTATTGCTGAGTTACCAAGCCGAACCCCAAAGCTAGCCATCAATTTAAACCCTCCAAAAACCCTTGCTAATTTTTGATGAATGTGTCTTTCTCTTATTGTCATTATTGATCGCCGCTGACATACCTCAGTCTAACCTCATATTTTGAAGACCACTCTTTGGATGTCTGCTTTGTCGCTCATGAATTTTCGGACGCTAAGTGAGTTGTCGATATTTCGTCTAATGCGACACATGCAGCAATAAAAGAAACACTTAATTGCGCGTCGTTAAGCCCACCCAGTGTTGGAGCGGCGGTTTATCAGGGAGCATTTTCAGTGCAAGCTGGATTTCCCAGGCTACTGATTCGAGCAAACACTGAAATTCGTTTTTGAGGAATCTATTACATCTTCTTTTTACCTGCATACTTGTACTAAGCGCAATCGCGTGTTTGCAATTTGTTAAGATAAATATAATTAATAATAGAAACAATTAATGGGATTTTTAAATTAAACTGTAAAATGAGTGTATATATTCGGTAAGAAGAGGAAAATCGTCACGACACATCCCTTTAACGAATTTCGTTACCGTACTTCAAACTTATCAAAAGAACGTCAGGAGTTTTGTGGTGGTTGTCGTAGGTACTATTTGTTTCAAGAACACGGTGCTCTTGAAGAGAGCTGAAAAGAAAATGGAAGACCGAATTTTAGTGTCAAGTAGTTGGCATTACAGTCTTGGCTTACCACTAGTGACGGCTGAATTCAACGATGAAGGAACACAATCGTCAAGGGTGGCAGTCGCAAAAACTCCTTACTCTAAACAGCAAACTCGCGAAAGCAACATCATTGCCAAAAATAGCAAACGCGCTAATCAGCCTAAAGTAAATGTTGTCGCAAGTCATCTTAAGGCTAAGAAACTTGAAAGCTGTTTTGTTCTGCACACACAAACATCTTTTGCACCTATTAATAGATTCTGCAAACAATGCATTCTAAAATGATTATAAGGTAAATCTAAATATCAAGAAGAAACACCATTTTTACTTTTGTTTTATATTAGTGCGAGGAGTCAAATTAACTGAAAAAAATTGTTGAATATATTCCAAATATTTCTTTAGGTGCCAAATATTTGGCAAACTAAATTTGCTTGACGCATCCAATATTTCACAACAATTGTAGTGAAGTTCAACCCCTCAAATGATATTACTCTCCACAGCCCAGTTGCCATACTTCTTAGTAATATTTCAGAGCATGCATTGTATAGTGTGACCACATGTTGAGTTTAGATACATGACAACTTAGAGTAGCCTGATGGAGGATTTGACCGAAATTTGGTTTTCTTTCTAGTGACTGATCTGACATACACAATTATATCCTTTGTTAACAAAATAAAGGGCTTAAATATCATGCATCTGACTCCTCCAAGACAGATGCCATCGGACAACAGATGTGGCTATCAAATTTAAAATAAAAATCTCCTGACATCAGCAAAAGCTTTTCTCTATATTTAGTACATGCCAAGGCTGACAAAGCAGTGCCTGGTGGTCAAGAGAATTGACTGATAAAATCAAATAAAAAATGAATATAATGTTTGATGGTCTGCCAAGTAATTACCCAACTTAGAAATGTAATTTTCATTCATTTTTTAACAAAGCTATCTCAAAGTTTAATTTAGCACGAATTCCAGTCCAAAAAATTATAACATTCAGAACACAGTCAGCAAAAATAAAAAGAACCTTACATTTTCAAAAATTCGCGTCATACATTGTAATTATCTAGTTAAATGTCTGAGATCTCCAGGGCAAAAAAAACTTCGCTAATGTACGCGCTATAATCAAATTTAGTCGGGCTTTGCTGTTTTTATTGTTCTACATGGAGTTGCTATCTTTTTTTAGCCTGTGAAATATTTATTTGGCCTTTATTGTTATTTGAAATTGCTACTTAATTTTGCATCTTCCTTCCTCTTAGGGTTTGTCAGTTTTTCAAAATAAGCACATAGGATTTACATCATGACTACTTCGTTGTCCAACTAATCTTTCAGCACAATCTTTTCAAAGATTGGTTTTTGAAAAAAATCCCCGAGATCATCCAACCAAACTCGTTCCAGTGCTAATTTACACAAAATCTTTTACATTACTACTAACTGAGATCACAGATAAACGAGAATCAACCAATTATGTTAAGCGGGATGGTTTACCTTTGGCAAAATCGTTGATAGAGTAATGTACTCGGACAACGTAATATTACTCTACGTCCCAACCAGTGACTCCAGACTTCAGTTTTTGGCTATGTTGCTGACCAAAATTTATTCGTCTAAACTGGAAAGTATTTCGCTTCATCTGAATCAATTTATAAGATACTTTAACGCCTGGGATACAGGAAAGTTTGCTGTCAACTCCTAAAAAGGTCACCTTTTACCACGACAGATGCGAATTGATAGTGGACTTGGGCGTTTAATCGACGCCTCTAGTCAAGTCAAAGGTACTTCAGCTTTTGGATTCGGACAGAAAAGCAGACTAATGCAGCAGGTTTCCGCCACATTATATTGGGTTCTACCAAACGGCCTGATTGTCAGTTATGCCATTTCTCTCTGACAATCGATAGACCTGAATAAATTCATCCCTTAACTTCATGATCTCCTAAATGGTAATAAGTAATAAGGTCTTTCCAGCTTCCATAAAAGGAATTCCATTAAGAAAAGTCGGGTGTTTTTGAACACACACTTAGAGTTTGCCTCAATGCATTTCATCATGACGACCTTGCCATCCTGAATTAATTTCCTCATCACAACCATTTGGGGATTGAACAATGCTCAAAATTGAGTCATAGAAACTAAACTGATCTAAACTATATCAAACGACATATTTTTCTAACCAATCAGACGCTACGTGTACGTTTCTTTCCCTGCACCGTTTTGGATGTGCTGTTGCATGCATACCCTGCAAATTTGCTTTAAATTCAGCGCAAGTTTTCAAACGTGTGACTGAGAAATATCTGCTTAATTGCCGCCTATCCCTAAAGCCTGTCAACTTTCGATCAGACTGTTCATTGTCAAACCATTTCAGCATCGTGGGAAGTTGTGTTGAATGGCTTGCACGAAAATGCTAGTTTAGAATCATTTCGCAATCACGGGTAATGGGTCAAATCAAGTCTTCATCAATTTTAGCCACTTGCAAATCTCCCCCTGAAAGTTACGTTCGTCAGAGTTCCAGCATGGGAGCTGACTGTGTATTCACTAATGCAATGGTAACACAATCCACACAGCCATCTAGTACCTTAAGGGCAATCTCAGAGGTACATGATCCTCACAACGAAAACGGTAAGTCTGATTTTATCGTTAATTTTCTTTGGAGTAATATTGTTCCTGAAAACATACAATCCATGTTTGAAGGCCATTCATAATTCAATGCTTGCACAGCCCTATGTTCGTCCCAGTTGATAAGGAAACATGTTACGCAGTTCAACGTTTAGACTGCAGAAGCTAAACTAAACAAAGATCACACTCTCGCCATTGGACCTTATAACTATCTGCGGTTCCATGATTACAATTTCAATCATATAGAATTACGGCAACATGTACTTTACAACTATCAAAACAGTGAAACGTCCGGTTAAGCCTCTTCGAAATGAAATTTTATCTATTCCAAGAACTGAATTACTTAAACTTCACACATGTGCATGTCCTAGCACCATGTAATGAAATAGGAAATACAAAAATCATTTTCTGTACGGCAAGCTGAAATGATCAGCTCAGAAAAATTGCAAATAAGCACAAGGAAAAATATTGCTTTCCATCACTGCACACTTGGGAGTTAATATTTTCGTGCTTTGTTGCAGGTTAGTTTTCTTCGAGTGTAAAGCCATCCCAAATCTACTTATTATGATTTTCTAAGGCGTCATATTCACGGTGCTTTTTATCCAGCCGACCAAATTCATGCGGAATTAGTTCTGTGTTATCAAGGTAATCGGCTTGAAATAAACGCCCATAATTAACAAAAAGGAACCAAAAGGATAGCAGACTTTTAGCGGTGCTGTATTGACAGCATCGTGTGCAAATAAGTTTACCTGAAGACGTTCAGCATCTGTGACTTGCACTGATTCCCACTCGGAGTTATTTTCCTCCGTTAACAACTACCCTACAATAATGTCAATGCACAATCACAACACCGACAAATCATGCCTAGTTAGTGCATAAGCGCCTCCATCCACCTAGTCCTGTCACTTTTCTTGATCTCGGGTTTTGTAAGTACGAATTCACACTCAGCGATTTTATATACTAAAGAAACTCTAAGTGTAAAGAAGTTTTACTTTGTATAAGCTCGACTCTATGTTGACCAGACCGTGAAATCATAAAACAATGTAACCTTCATCACCTTCTCTGCATCGGGGCAAAAATATCTTGCTACCCCATTATCAGAAAGATAATTGCACTATAAACTGTGTGTAAAGTACAGGTAGTTCATAATGCTAAGTCGAATGATTGGGTGACTTGGTGTCATTGACTGATAAAAAGCGCTTCCCTTCCCCTTATCCAAATGTAGTTAGGCTCTTAATCAAAAACATAAGTCATTGGGCGATTTTATTAATATTCGAACTATCCTAGTCAGTATATTCACTAGTAATCTATGAAATATACACAATTTTTCTTTTACACAATGATGGAAAGTCTTGGGCTTATTTGAAGAACTTACTCTTTTTAACTGGTTTAGCGGACAATTTACTGGAACTCTCACAGCAGCCTCTTCAATCTGAGTCAAATGATGCGGTTTCGACCAATGCTCATGTGTCATGCCTCTCACCTAAGGACTTTTCAGACCCCATGTTTGTTTCCCGAACGCCACAAACAACAGTGAGCTCCTCAGTCGGGAATAGCTTGACGGGTGGAGCAAAATTACCGTCATATCAAGTTATTGTCTCACCACTGCCTCTCTTACTGGACAATTTGGCAGTCAGTATAACCTCAGTTCCGGCTTGCCTCTGCGAAGAAGCGGAAGAAAAGGAATTTACTGATGCTTTAACCGATAGCTCGTCTTCGGTCTACAGTAATGGCAGATGCTATTCCAATCGGCCAACACCGAGTGACCTATCTATTAACGCTCCTAACTGCAAAGATGACGACGGTGACTCAACCAATTTGTACTTTTATCAAAATCGGATTCGAGAACATACAGATAATGTCTCTCAAAACTGGAGAATGACCGAAGACACGGACTCGAATATAGATCTTTGGGAGCAAGTTAAACCACTTGAAGAGGGTAGCATTTATCCTCGTGGGGCTGTGGAACGAACCCCACGTCCTTCTCAATTTTGTGGTCTCGGATATGGCATGTTTCATATAAACGGAAAGCCAGACGAAGAAAAAATAAGTTCTGTGTAGAATGAAATGGTGTGTCTTGATGTGCTGCCTCTTTCCGGTGTTCAACTATTCCCAGTCACATTCGCTCTGAAGTAGCCCATTATGCATGGGACTGGACACTCTATTCTATTGTGCTCAATCGTTTCATTTTAGAAGTTATGTACAACCTTTTTTCAGATGAACGAAAAGTAAATATTGTTTTGGACAAATTTGCTAAGTATTAATGTTTCGTTACCACTAAGAAAAAGATGAATGGCAAAGAATTTCTTACTGTGATGACTCGGTAGGGCAAAACAAAAACAAAGTTTTCTCTGCCATATCACTGAAAAAAATGTTTTCCATTCTCAACACGATCGCTAAAGTTAGCTCTGTCGACATTGCCTCATTTGCATTCTTGATCGAATATGAATGATAAAATATTCGTGCGCCACAAAATACAGCGTTTCGAAAGAATTCATGGTATGGAGATGCATAAAGAGTTACTGTAACTTCATAATGGTAACATAAATTAAAATTATAATTTGCTTTCCACGGATAGCCCGTAAGGCCAGAGTCAAAAAGTTGAATCTAAACAAAGAAATTAATCTTGGATGGTGCTGTGAATAACCAAAATAAGGACACATTATCATTTAACAAGAATAACGCAGATTTAAATGTGCTTAAGTGTGCTCTCCGAGAACCCCTATACAAACGCTAGATAATTTTGAACTCACAACATTCAGAATTACACATGCATCAATCCGTAGATTCATTCGTAGACTAGTCGGCTAATAAAATCAGTTCATAAACTTATTAACAGTAGTCAAAATGACACCAGTGAGATTACGAATTTCGGTTTTACCCAGAAAAATACATCATCACTGTACCTTAAAGATCTTGTGATTTAAAAACGCCTAATAAATTTGCTTTTTATGTAATCAGCCGAAAGAATTTGTTTTAAAATGCGGTCGGAGAACTCACACAAGTAAAGCTGTTTCAGAGAGATTTGCCCCGCCATGATGTGCGCATGTTGCCCACATTTGTATTCTCCATATCCTTGTTCAAAGTGTTAACGCAAGCAAAGGGATATCAATACGTACTGTTTATAATTGGTTAATAAATGCATCCAATTCATCATTTTGTCTTCCCTACTTTAATTTGCCATTAGGCGAATAAGAACATTTAATGCTTGCTGTTCGTTGCCGAATCTTGTGCATAGTTTTAAACATATGTATATTTTTTATTAATTGTAATTTAAAAGCACTTACAGGCGACAGAGGGCTAGCACAAATGTTTGACTCAAAAATGTTGAAGGTATCATCTAGAAATGAAAACTTTCTGTAAAAATGAGCATAACGTTTCTGGATGGATGTCCAAATCCTTAACAGTATAAACTTGATTTCGTGCTATTTAACTTTTTTTAATTTAAAGCAGTCTGAATGATGGATTTTGGATAAAAATCAATTTTTCATCAATTTGTTTAAAGCTTTCGTTCGAGTGGTACAACTTTAATTTCGCATCTCGTTTATTCTTAGTGGATGTAGGTGGCTCCTGTTCAAATGAGCCAAGCCATTCAAAAGTATGAGAAACTTGAAAAAATAGGAGAAGGTGTGTTTTCGTATTCAAACCGTTTATCTAGTAAAGGGACGTATGGAAAAGTTTACAAAGCAAAAAATCGTGAAACTCATGAAGTCGTAGCATTAAAACGCGTCCGTTTAGAAGACGACGATGAAGGTATTCCCAGTTCGGCCTTTCGAGAAATCTGTCTCTTGAAAGAACTCAAACACCGCAATATCGTGAGGTATGATATCTAACTGTCTGTTTTAAAGCATTTTACTGTACTTTCGATGTTTGTGCTGTGAATCGTTTTTGGCACCTTTTATTCTTTGATGTACTCTTCTCGGCTTTAAACCGAAACCTAACGTCGGACTTTATAGGTTTAAGTTTTTTTGCGGCAGTAATCATTGAGTAGTCACGTTTTCTTAGTTTATAGTGGGCTGGTTGTACGCGTTCATTGTCCGTCTTTGTTCTCAAATTTTATCGTTGACTTTGTGATGAGATCTGAACCGTTTTAACCACACACTTTTTGATTCAGCGCATGATTTACTTGGTCTTTACGGCTATTTGGAGCATACGTTCTTTTGACCTCTCTATTCTGATAACTGAGATCTTTTTTTCTGATCGTCTACTTTTTGCCCAAACATCGTCCCCGGAATTGAATGGCAAAAGTCGTCAAATATTTTAAAATGAATTTGTTCTGCGTTTGTAATGGCGTTGCTCCATATATCTGTACTGGATATAAAGCGGTGATGGTTACTTATGCTGTATCGGCCCCGTCATCAGGCTATTCATTAATCAATCAACCCGGTCCATATTAAGTTTTGTTTTTCATAAATTAATGAGATGCTTCAGAATCCACTTTGATGTAGCTATGATATGTGTATCAAAACACGGTCACCAAGTTCCTCAGACTAATCTATGCAGCTGCCTATAGAAGTAGGAAATCTCATCAATACGTCCTTTCTGTGGTATCGTGATGGTATTTCTTAAGCCAATTTTAAATAGGTATCGCGATGCTTAATCCGTATTGCTTTATCAATGTTGCATTTGGTTTTGTATGCCTATAGTGGTTCTAGACCCCCGTATAGATCCACGGTGATTCAGGACAAAATCCACCATAGCGTCATTTTATGTCAGGTAATGCCAATCTCAAAGCTCTCCTCTCAAGACTACTGTCTTGCAGATTTTCATGCGTAACACCAGTTAATTTGTAACTGGGATACAAGAAAAGGCGGTTTGTATGCGTAAGCAACGCCCATTGAGGCATCTGTGAGTGAAAATAATGCCAGTTTCTTTGGAAATCGTTGTCCGTGGCAAGTCACTTAGTCAATGGTAAGACGTCGAATGGGACTTCTCAAGTGTTAAAACGATGAAATTTCACAATTAGGCCATCAGA